CAGTCTCGATGGAAGCACTGGAGCCTAACTTCCATAAGGTACAGTTAGCAAATGCAGATGGCCTAATCACAATGAGCAACCTAACTCCCTATAGGAGTACCCTTATTGAAGTGTTCCTCCAATAATTTTCTACTAGCTCATCCTGGTGCTTAAATACACTCCCATTTTTCTTTTCAAGGAGTTAAGTTCAACCTCTTTTCCCTATTGCAAAAGTTTCAAATAAAATTCTTTCTTTCCTGTTTAACTTAAAGTGTGACTAGCTAACACCAAATGGGGACTTAATGATACCTGGTCATGACATTTCATTTCCTTAGTCCCTTTGCTCTTTGCACCTTTTCTTTCTTTAAACCGTTCATTCCTCTACCCCATTCTTATTTTTAGTGGATGCCCTTGCTCTATCACTAAAAAATAATATTCCAACAGGCTTCCCACAGCCCCAGTCACCCCAGCGGCTCATCTCCCCATACGGCCCAGATGCTCTGCCCCACCACCTGTTCTCACTAGCACTGGAGTACCCACTGTCTCATACCTATGCACAGACTCCTGTGTCCTGCTTCTACACTATTTCCTGTGCTCCTACTAGCCCCACGTTCCCCTTCTAACCTACCAAACCCATTTGTCTCCTCGCCTTTTCTACAAAATTCAAACTAAGGTTACAAAATGCCTTTTTTTTTTTTTTTTTTTGGTTTTTCTCCAATTTTCACTGGTTCCTCTTCATTCCCCATTCTCTTATATTGGAAATACTAAAGATCAATCAAGGCTTTGCTGTATGCTTTCCTTTTCATTCATTCATTCATTCCCTTTTATCTCCATTGCTCTCTGTCATGCCTGACCTGAATGAGACTTTCACCATTCTCTGCAAACAACAGGCTACTCTCAGTAAATAGGATAGACAGCCATAAGAAAAATTTAGGACAGAGTATACAATCTCCCTGGTGCTGAGAAGTCTAGTGATTATCTGCACATCTATGCTGACTACACTTGGACCCTCAGTCATAAACATTCCTTGTGATCATAGCCCCTTCTCAATATCCTATATAAACTTAGTTTTCTTTCCCAGTTAGCTGCTGATCTCTCTCTCTCTCTCTCTCTCTAAATCTCTCTCAGTGTCAGCCCACCTACACATGGATGAAATAAATTCAGCTCTTCCCACCTAGCAGCTCAAATCTACCCTGAATTTCAGTCTCTGTGCACATCTGGACAAGATTAAAGCTTTTTTTCACACAAGGCCTGTCTTCAAGTGGCCTCACACATGCCATTTATAACAATCTTCCTTGCACCCTATGCTATGCGCAACCATTCACATATATACAATTTGCTATTTTATAATGTCTCTTAACAAAACGGACTTATATGCTCATATACTTTAAGTTTGTAGTAAACAATATTTCGGTAACTTTATTTTTTATTTGCTTAAGTTTCCTCTCAGCGCTATGTTTTTAAGATCTATTCATGCTATTGCAATCGTTGTTGGTTGCTACCTGCTTCAGTGTTCTGCCAAGTATTCATTGAAATTTGGCCCACCAGAATGACAACCAGGTGATCCCTGACTCCCTGCCTCTCGGTGTTAAAACAAGCCTACTACCTGCTGAAGATCCCAAAGCCTCTGCTTTCCCAGCATCCTACCTCTCTGAGATTCTAGTTTCTTTACCCCAATGTATCCCACCTAAACTCTTCTGCATTTCAATTAATAACTCTATCCTTTCCATTATCCATGACCTAAATCTTAGGGTATCCTTCACTCCTCTCCTGGTCTACTTCCTCTCATATACTCCAATAGTACAGCTTCTCAGTTTCACCCTCAAGGTAAGTACACACCTGACTACTTCGCAGTCTCCTTTTACCACAGTGGAAAAAGTCACCAACATTTCCCTCTGGATTATTACAACAGCCTCCTTAATTGTTTCCCCTCTGAGCAGTTATAGCAATCTTGTCAAAAATGTTAGTCAAATGATCCCATTGTTCTGTTTAGAGCTTTCCAAAGGTTTCCATTTCACTCTAAGGAAAGGCACAGTAACTGCAGTGCACAGAAACTGCTACTCCTGTAACACTTTAGATGCACCTTGCCCTTGAGGTAAGACAGAAGAAATAAAGAAAAGGAGATAAAAGGAAACTCAGTTTTATTTTTCCCTTTATTACTTTAAAATTTTGGTCATATCTCTGGTTAGCTCTGCACATAGGCATGTTAATCACTTAAAGAGTACCTACATTACAAGGTTTCTAACCTTAAATTTACTGACTCTGTCTCCTTGCCGAGACCAAGAACACCAAGATAAGAGTAACAGAAGTAGTTCTCAGGATTTGCAGGGACATCCAATTGTCACCATTTACAAGGTCCAGATCCAGACTCCCCTGGACCATAGCCTAGAAGTCTCTAGCTATTGTCCTAACCCTGTAATCTACTCAGGTTCCAGGAAAAGCAAATCAACCCATGATATCATCCCCCTTAAGTAAGAACAATTATCTCATGAGAACCAAATTTTCTCTCAAGCCATAAAGATTCCTCCAGAGTTATGGAATTGGGAAGCCAGAGTAGAAATAATCAACTGGATCCTGGCTCAGCCAATCCATAAAAGCTGATCTTACCATCTGGCAAATGGAGCAATTTGAACATCCTCATCCCCATCCACATCCCCCACCAACTCTTCATGTTAGAGTTCTTTCCCTCTTCTCCCTTTCTTTCTAACACTGCCTAATAAATCTGCCTATCCCTCTCACTGACAGTGTTCTGAAACTTTTCTGTGATAACCAGGTACCTACTCTGCATTGTGAGTTGAGGTTCCCATCTCCTCTTTGGGGGAATCCTTGAACTCCATCAGGTGATATCATGATGCCTTGTTCAAACTCCCTCTCAAGGACCACCTGGGTATTCTTGAATTCCCCAGGCATGCTCTTCCTGAGGATGTTGTGCATGGTCTTTCCTTGCTCCAGCACACACACACTCCTTCATTCAATTAACAACTCTAATTATACATACTAATAGCTCAAACTGCACTTACTTTCCTTTTCTGCTGAAATTCTTTTCCTTTGTATTTATCTCTATTGAACACAGAAATAAATGTCCCGTTACATTTATTATTTTCCTTTTCTTTTTTCATTCCTGTGTGTGTGTTGGTGGGGATTGAACCCAGGGCCTCATGCATAGAGACAAGTCCCCTATCCCTGTGCTACAACTCTAGTCCTCAATTTACTGATTCTCTTTACTGTCTATCTTTCTTCAGGCCCTACCTAAATAACATAAATTCCATTAAGAGAGGGATTTTTGTTTTTTCATTGCTACATACCAACAGCTTGAGAGAGTTCTAGAACACAGTAGACATTCAACAAATAATTATGGAATAGATAAAAACAACCAACATGAAGTCTGAATTCTAAGGAGACAATAAGAGAAATTAATCTGAAAATGAGATGCAATTGGGGAAGCATATTACTAAATCACCCTTTGTTTCAGGGCTGGGTATTTGCATCACATTTTACTGTTATTTATACAATTAGGCCTCCTTTTATAATATTTCTTAAGGTTTATTAATCTTATCTTGTCCCATTTCTATCCCTCTGGGCTTTGAAGGATAAGAGGATAAAATTAAAATATCTCACTCCAACTACTAGACCCTCAAAATATCATCTCCAGGTATATTCTGCATTCTACTTACCATATTCTTTTGCCATTTTCAACCATTTGGTTCCATCTAGTTTACAAAAATCCTTCATATAGCCAACTCCTTACTCTGCAGGGGTAGCTCACTTTATCTCTCAGAATCTTACCACGGATGTTCAGACTATGATAATTTCCCTCCTTTATGGTCTTTGTAGCTCATATTTTACTTATTGGGTCATATTATAATTCCAATTTTTTAAGCAATGGTTGATTACTATGAATCTTCCTTTCTAACATGTAAATACTAGAAGGCATGATTGTACCATTTTATTCACTGTTATATCACAGGTCCTTGATTATAGGAGATATTGTGTGAATGCTTACTGAATAAATAAAAAAAAAAGAATGTACCTGACCTGTACTGTTTTCCTTTTATGTTCATGATTTAGCTTGGTTTACTGGCTGATCATCTAAATTTCTAAATTCATCTCTTTTTGGTGAGTCTGATTTATACCAACTCTGCCTTCCATGGTTCTCACTTGAGCAAAGCTCTCCTGCTTAGGGCTGAAAATCAGTTTTACCTTCAAAGATATTTTTCTTGATTCCTATCAATGTGTCTAGACTTCCTCACAAAATGGAGCTATACATTTTTAATCTTTTCAACCAAAAAACAGACACAAAAACAAAACCTCATTTACCCAATTGAAAAGAAGTTTAAAAAGAAGTTCTGTCGTTAAAGCTTGTCTACTTTAATATTGGTATAGATTTCATGACTGAGTAGAAGAGATTCCTTCTGTTCCTGCTCAATTAGGAATTCAGTGAGGTAGCCTATAAATGAGTAGCCTAATGAATGAATAGCATTCGTTCTCTTCTTTCTCAAAACTGTGGCTTCATGGACCCAGAAGAAAACAAAACCTAAATGATATTCCATATTCAAGCATGAAATTATGTATGTAAAATACATTCAAATGCTAACAAAATATGTATTTTGCTAGTTTCCATTGTAAATTTGTTAATCTGAAGCTTTATGGTGGCAATAACTATGCATTTATTTAATTTATTAATTTATTTAAATTTATTTAATTTATTTAAATTTATGTAATATTAATTGAAGTAAGAGAAAAATATTACATCTTCCAAGTCAAAGTAAATTGTATTTGCTGCAACAAAAATTTTCTTCCCTCTGTAGTTAAGTTGATTTGCCAATTTCAGGCTGCGTGTAAATGTCAGGTGTGCTAAACTGGTTTTTATTTGAAACCAAATATATAGCTTATCCCAGGGCTTAAAAACAAATGGAGTAGGTCTTTTTGCAGTTTGTGACTTGTCATCACACAGCTGTGAAAGAAGCCAGCCTAGCAGTCTGGGTCCAGTACCAAAATATTCAAAGGGTAAAACCAATTACCTCTTCAAGAACATCTGCGAGCTTGCTAAGGATCTCTTCAGGAAGGCTCTGGAATGTTGGAACACTGAAAAACAAACCAGAGGATGATGCTGAACACATGAACAGCCACTTAATATAATAAATAAAATGGCAATATAGCTGAAAGAAAATGAAAACAACATTTCACAACAAAGAATCTGCAAATGAAGATCAAAGTAATTACTTACGCATGGTTTAATGTCTACATGGAAAAGAGCTTGAAGATTAATCACAGTAAGTCCAAGTCATGCTTCTAATTGCCTACTGGTCTATGAATATTTCTGCTACAATGGAGAGAGAACCACTCTCTTTCTGATTACTCTGCTATCACCAGATTCCTTCCAGCTTCATCTCCCGTTCCAGTCTCCCCTCCCCATGCATACCCTTCTTCAGGCCAGTTCCTACCCATTCTTCCATTGAGGACACATTCTTATCTAAACATTCATTAAACAATTCTCCTCACCCCTTCCCTACCCTAGCCAAGTTCTATTATAAGCTTACTAGCTTTCATCTTTTTTCCCACCCAATGCAGAAAATATAATCCAGAACTACAGGCATGCTAGGCAGGAGCTCTACCATAGACCTACATCCTTAGCCCTATTATGAGCTCTTCTTTTATTGCAACTGTAATTATATAATTAATCAAATCATTGTTTGTTTTTGAATGTCTTCCCTGCAAGAATCAAAACTCCATAAACATAAGAACTGTATCTGCCTTGCTTGCTCAACATCTTATATTTTCAGTGATTTATAAACAACAAACCCAACAGCGTAATTTGATTGAAGTTATAAAAACATGGATGTGTGAATGCTCCACAGGAGAGTGATAAAAATTTGGGGATATTCTAAGTCAAATTACAAAGAGCTAGAAAATAGAAGAGGAGAGATGGAAAGTATTGATATGGGGCATTAATCAGTAACATGATACAGGTCGAACAGAAAACAGAAAAAAAAGGCTATTTTACATTTTTTAATATATATTAAAACCTTAAATCCCACTAGGACCAACCACCAGGACTGTGCATCCTGTTTACATGTACACTTTGTGAACTATAAAACACAACCAATTCAGCAGCAACAAATACTTGTCTGTATAAATTGCTCTCCTATCACAAATCTTCCTCTGCTTTGCACTGTTTGGCCCCTCTTATCTTTAGCCAGTATAGATCACAGGGTTTTCTTTCCCCAAAATGTTTTTAAGAAAAGTACTACCAATTCTGGTAGCTGCAGACACTTGTCCCAGGGCCTGGTCCTTTCCTTTCCTGTCTAGCATCTGTAATGGCTCAATACACTCTTTTATTTCAGAGATTTCTTAGTCTCAAGAATTTTGGTTTAACAACAATTATTAGAAAAAGATTAAACAGGATAGAGCAAAGAATCAGACTCATAGTACCATGATACTGAAAAATATGAGTTTAGTTCTCATTTTCTTATCTTGTTCTCTTATTTTCCCTCTTCAAACAGCAAAGGAAAATGTTGAATGATATGGAACAGAAAACCAATAAAATTTTCTTCACATGTGAAATAATTATCATAAATGAAAACAAAGCTCCTCAACACGTTTCCTGAAAGTTCTCTGGAAAATCTAACTAGGATGTAGAACTCAATTCTCATTTAATCATATTCCAATGCTTAAATGGATAAAATAATATAAATGAATATACACATTCAAATGTCTGATATCTGACATGGAGTGTAATACCAGTGTTACTAGAATACTACAATGAACAAAGCCAAAATATACTATCTTGATATAAGCTTGAAAGTTTGCTCTTCAATTGTCACTGTAATTTCTATTACTAAAGGTAAAGCCTATTGATAAAATCCTACAGTTTTATGCAAGGTGTTACACTCAGGACCATCTGCTCCTCCAGATTTACTGCTGTGATCTGAGCCACACAGGTTTTAATTTCCAGAAGGCAGTTATTACAGCAGCAGGATGAAACATACCACAGATAGAGACAGAAGATAGAGGAAGCTGTTTCCATGAGATATGTAGGTTGAAAATTTTGGTCCCTCCTTGTTCTTTTAATGAGCTGTGTTTTAGTTTCTTTTGAGATGTTAGAATAATTAGGGTCTTTCCATCCCATTGGATATTTGTGGAAAATACAAACAACAACTGAATTTTATAATTAGATCCCTTCTTTAGGAAGGCTTGTTACTTCTATGGTACTTTTATCTCAATCTAGGATGTATCTATGTCAAGCCATGCTATAATATTTTTGTGATCATGAGAGGTATTATCCATGAGAAAAAGGTAATATTTGATTAACCAAAATGGAAACATATCAATATTTAGGACATCACCTTAAATATATTTTAAATTCATTTTTAATTCCCTCAAAACATTGTGCAACATTTCTTAGTAGTAAAATGTAAGGTTACCTCAAAACACTGAGCAGCATTTATTTAGTAATAATAAATAATAAAGTAAGGACAATTTTAGAAGAAACATTCTATAAAATGATCAATAACAGCTAAAACATTTCTGGACTTAATAAAATGAAAATTATTTAACAGAAAAGAAAGTGCCTTCACTGTTATGAATTTATTTTAAAACATTTAAAAAGTATTTTGCAATTTACTCATAAATTTATCAAAGGTCTCTGTCATCCAAACAGTTCCATCATGTAACTAACTTGTTTTCTAAGAATTACCAGACTACCAGCAGCTTGAACACCAAAAACAACACATTTGAGGATTTTCTGAATTTGAATTTTTACCCATGAAATGTTTCAGCTAAATTTTAAAAGTATATCAGAATACATTTAGATTCCACTAATTTCAGTATATGATAGTTCAAGATAAAAGTTGTCTGATTTAGAAAACTGAAGGTAAATAATTGTAAAGACAAACTTCTAGAGAAAATGTTTAAACACTAAAGAAAAATATTGGCACTTATATTACAAAACAATTTATTGTAAGAATTTACATAATAATTACAAAAATTATTACAGATGTGTATTAAAATGTTTTGGACCCCTAAAGGGTTGCAATAGGATTGAAGTAAAAGAATGTACTGAAATATAATATAAAATATAATAAATATAATAAAAATATAATACAATATAATAATATAAATGTACTATAATATAAAGTATGGTATTTTTCCAATGGATTTTCTAATTAAATAAAACAATGACTTCAAATTTGCAATGACAGTGATAGCAGGTAAGATTTGAGTAATTTTTATTTGCCAGGAATTGGGCTAAGGTTTTATAGATAATTAGAGTGTTTGTGTAATTAGAATTGATGAAGAAAGGATAAAAACGCCATGTAAATGACTATGGAAATGATCAATAACTCACTGAGCTACACACTTTTCAGTGAGGGAACTAAAATAACACTTTTCAAAGCAGTGCTTATTCTTGTAGATATTTAGAAATAAATCATTAATATTGATAATATTTGATTTAGTACATTCATTAATTTTCCAACTTTTATTTATAAAACAAGTCAAATAAATTGAAGATTGAGATAATATTCAAGGATCACCAATATCCCTAACACTTAGAATCATTTGTTAACAGTGAACTATTTTTGCTTTATCTACTTTCAACCCATCTATTTTTCTATGTGTGGATATATAATAATCTATAGATAGATATTTCTGGATAAAACATCTGAGACTACATTTTAGGTATCATGAAACTTTGTCAGTAATACTCTACTATATGAATTCTAAAAATAAATATTTTTAAAATAGATAATTCTAATACCATTATTATAAACAAAATATTAACTTCATCTCATCTAATATTCTTTCTGTATTTAAATATTATTATTGTCCCAAAATCTCTTCATCAGTTGTTTTTTTCTTTTCAAACAATGAAACAGTCAAAACCTGAACACTGCTTTTGGCTGTTACATCTCTTTAGTCTCTTATTCTACAACAGTTTTCCTACCTCTTGCCCTCATGACACTGACTTTTTGAAGTGGCTGGAACAGTAAAATTAATAGGTGTTTTATATTCTTAATTTGTCTTAGGGATTTTATTGCTGGTAATCTATTGTATGAAAACAATAACAAGAGTTGGACAGTGATAAGTACAAAGAATTTATCAGAGGTACATATCCAGAAAAAAATTGGGATATCCATAGAATAACAATTATGTACAGCAAAAACAGTTCTTAACATGTGGCCCAAGGATGTCCCAAAACCTTTTCACTGAAGTCTTTAAAGTGAAAACTACTTTCATAGTAAGTCTAGGTTGTGATTTTCCTTGTACACCTCCCCCCAACCCCTCATGCTGAGTATCAAACTCAGGCCCTCATGTGCGTGAACCCTAGGCTGCCCCTCTACTCCTGAGCCTGACTCTTACTCTTTCACATGTATATACTAAAACTTTCCATGGGCTATGTGACGATGTCATCACTCTGATGGCTAATAGAACATATGCTTATATCTTCTGTTTGCTAGAAAATTTCAAGGTCATAAATTTTCAATTTCAATATTCTATTTACAGAAATTAGGATGTTTTTGTTATTTCTTTTGTGTTCTTACTAGTTATTTTTCATCATGCTTGCTATTAACATTATCATTATCTAGTAAATCATTCTTTTAAAATAATGAAGTTTTCCTTGCACTTAAGTGGAAAGCCAAAAAGTCGTACATTTGAATATATTGTTTTACAAATAATGAAGTTTTCCTTGCACTTAAGTGAAAAACCAGAAAGTAGTACATTTGAATATATTGTTTTACAAAACAGTTCTCTCTCTCTCTCTCTCATATATATATATATATATATATATATATATATATATATACACACATACATATATACACACCCCCTGGTACTGGGGATCAAACTCAAGATCTTGTACTTGTGAAGCAGGTGCAGTGCCACTGAGCTAAATCCCTGGCCCTATTCTATATATTTTTAAACATTTCTCACTTCTTTGTAATTTTTTTAGAGGGGTGCTGTGAATCAAAACCAAGATCTTGTGCATGCTACTCAAGTGCACTGCCACTGAGCTACATTCCAGAATTTCATCTAAAACTTTTATAATTTTAGAATTGCATAATACTTGAGTACTTAATGAAAGA